GACTTTCGGTAAGGAGTGCAGCAAGGCAAAGAAAAGTATCTAGGTCCTCTTTATGGAGACATCAGGGGTCTATAACCCCTATGACCCCTAATGTCACCTAGAGACCCCAAAGAAGCTGAGAAGCACAGATCTGCTTCACCTGCTTCTTCTTTGGCTAAGCAATGACAGACTGAAAGTGGAAGTGATGTAATACACGTCACTTCCGGATTCAGAGATCGGAGGGGAGATCTGCGGGTGGACGTGTGCCAATTTCAGAGCAACAACATGTCAGTGCACGCTCCCTGCGCGGTACAAGCGATCGGGCGTCTCTATAGCTGCCCGAACGCCTGTATGTAACAGTCGTCGCCGGCTGTAAACGATGTTCACGTTTCCCGCTCGCGGGGGTGGGGGGAAGGGGCACGTACAAAGACGGCCGCCCACCGTTAAGCGTCCACCACACCAAATATGTGAACCAAGACCTGCGTTTATACGCATTGAGATTCATATAATCACATGCTCGTGTGAATGAGGTGTCATGGGACGGATCGGGGGATATTGATTATTGATATTTGCTGCGGACGGTCAGATACGCCGATTAAGAAATAAAGGATTGAATAGCTTTTTTCATGCAAATATTTGTGATTGTGAATGGAACATTTTGGCGAAACAAATGTCCGGAGATCAAATAAAACTCATCGGGGCCAGAGAACTGACCGCAGCGCCAGGGCTGCGCTGGGCGCGGACAACAGACGCGGCCTTCCAGACTCTCTGAAGCCAGCGGTCAAGTTTGGCGCGAGCCGCCGCTGCCATCTGCTGGTGGAAAAGCAAACTGCAGAAGGGAACTTTCTAATTCTATTATTTATTTATTAAAGCGTATCTCAATGTCAAAATACGGGATGTCTGCGGTGACCCCCAAAAGGTGAAAAATAGATCTAGAGTTTCCTCCACTTGTTTATTTGCTTTTACCTCCAGTGTTGTATCGGAGTGACTGCCTGGACTGACCCTTTGCCTGTATATTGATCACATCTCTGCCAGCTGCCTGGACTGACTCTTTGCCTGTATATTGATCACATCTCTGCCAGCTGCCTGGATTGACTCTTTGCCAGTCTTTCCCAGTCACATTTCGGGTCGACAATTGAATTCGTTTCGGGATTCGGACGAAATTCGTTAGCGGTAGTCCAGTCGAAATTTCGTTTATTGGACGAAATTTCGTTAGCAGCAAAGTGACAGAAATTTCTTTTTTTTTTTTTTTACAGTCTGCAGTAGATTATTTTTTTTCTAATGGCACTTTTGCTGCTAACGAAATTTCATCCAATAAACCAAATTTCGACCGGACTACCGCTAACGAATTTCATCTTCTGCAGACTGTAAAAAAAAACAACAAAAAAAATGTTTTTTTCCTGTCACTTTGGTGCTAATGACATTTTGTCCAATAAACGAAATTTCGACCGGACTACCGCTAACAAATTTCGGGAATTCGGATTCGTTTGCATTAGTTTTAGCTGTAATTCGGGATTCGGATGCAGCCGAATTTACGAAATTTCGTCCGAATTTCGATTCGTTTGTATCCATTTTAGCTGCAATTCGAAATTCGGATGCATCCGAGTCTCCGAATTTCCGAAAATTGGTCCGAAAAATTCGGAAATCCGAAAATTCGGAACGAAACGAATGGCACATGTCTAATCTGTGTTGTTGTCCTCATGGTGTGTTTCAGTCAATCATATAAAACTATTCTATAGACGAGCGTTCTGAGAAGCGGGAAAGATGTTCATCTTCTCCACAATCAGAAAAGACTTCCAGGGGGAGCAGTGCCGGGTGCTTAGGATCAGCGATGTGTTTGTTGGCTACTAAGAGCAGATAATTGACACATTCAGCAGCCTGTTCCTGTTCTGCATGGTCTCTTCAGTGCGGGATATGGCTTTCTGCTCAGCATGCGACCAGAGGCATTCCCTATTGCAATAGCCCATGGCACCCATCTAGGTCAAGCTACAGTGATATGTTTTGGATTTTGTCATTGCATTGTTACCGTTATGACTGTTTTTGTCAAAATAATGTTATTCTTTTTCATCCAGCTTTGTTTACGAATCATTTAGGAATCATCTCTTTATAAAGAACATTCAGAAAAGATTGTCAACAGCTCGTTCAGGTCATTTTTATGTTTTGCATGTGGGTGGAGTGCTAGCTGTTCCGGTAAATAAGAGTTCTGTGTGGGACAAGGCCTCTGCCCCTCAGCTCCATCCTGTCTTCATAGATCTCCATGGTGGCGAAGGCCTGGCTGTCCGGCGGGGTTTCGATGACGCCGTTGAAGGTTATGTGGTGGATCCCGTGTTCGTCTTGACAGTAACCCCCATCGTGGTCGTGTCCGGCAAAATAGGCCACCACGGAGGGATGGGACTGTAACGTTGACAGGACCTCAAGGTAGTTCCAGGTGAGACATATGGGGTCTGTAGAAGGAAGGTAGATCGGGAGGTGACCTGCAAAACGAGACAGGGGTTATAAGAGATTCAGATGGACAAAACGTTTAAGCCAGATGCAGGGCCGGATTTCCCACAAGGCCAGAGGCAGCAGGGGTGGGGAATTCCTATCTCCCGACACCCGGGACATGCAGTTCCGGGCGCCAGGTGGGTAGTTGTTCTCTACATTTAGCCTTGCATTGGGCAAGCAGAGCTAAATGTAGAACAGGGAAGCCGCCGCTTGTTATGTACAAGTGATCTTGGTGATGTCGCCCAGATCACTTGTATGCAGCCTGCAGGTCTACCATTCTTCATGGGGAGGGGGAGGGGGGGGTTGGCGGGTAGGGGGGTGCATTGAGGAACCTGGCCTTGGGGCAGCAGAAAGAGTAAATCTGGCCCTGGTCAGATGAAAGGCACCATAAATGTAGGGTCATAACATGGCCCATGCCCCTTTAGGGTCTCCTAGCTTTACCCTGCCCACAATGCTGTCTTCTATTTCCTAACTGCTCAGTAGAGATTGGCTGGCAGGGACAGCAGCTCTGGTATACAGGGCACTCCACTCTATATTAAAGAAAGTGACTAAACCTTACCAACTCGGATGGAACAATAATGATAACATATTGGCTTCACTGCTGGGCCGGTACTGTTGGGGGTCCAAGTGAAGAATGTTTGGGCTACGGGAAATATTTCTGTTTTATAAGAACCAATATGATGGACAATGAGAAGTCCACAAGCTAAAGGTCCATACTAGGGTTTCCAAGGCATGAAAATGTAACACGTACTACAACACAAATGTCTAAAGCCAACCTAAGGCTGGGTTCACACCTAGGCGTATTGAATATGCCCGTTTGTCCCGCGTTTTTTTTACCGCGATACAGGGTTAAAAAACGCGCGACAGACGCGCGTTTCCGAGGGCTACTTGGCTGTATCCCAATGGAAACTCCCAACAAAAACGGCCCAAACAAGTACATGTACTTGTTTGAGCGTAGGCCGTTTTGTAGGGCGTTTCAGACGGGCGGAAATACGGAAAGGTGTGAACCATACCCATAGAAAACAATGGGATTTTCATGTTTGTACGTTTTGTAGAGCGTTCATAGAGCCTTGAACGCGCGACAAAACGTAAAGGTGTGAACAGGGCCTTAAGGTTTCTTTTCTGATGAGGTTCGGAAGATTATCTCCCCCTGATAAATCTCACTAGTTGAAATCTCGTAAAAATCGCACCTGCCACCATCACTTTCTCCCCATTGTTATCTGAAGATTGGAGGACGTCATTAATCCAGTTTAATTGAGCGTGGCTGATTCCACCATTGAACTGTACAAACTGGGGGTCATCAAGACCTGGAATGATACAAAGCAAGATGTTAAAATGCATACCTGTACATCAAAGAGCACACTGAAAACTGGCTTTTTTTCCATATCAAATAACAAAAAACTAGGTGCCTCTGTCTTATTTTCAGCAAGAAACAACATTTCTTGAGAAGCACCTTCTCTATTCTACCTAAGAAATTTATGGTTGACCGTAATGTAGCCTCCACCAACACAGGACAGAAGCCATAGGAGCAGGACATTTCATTCTTAGCCTGATCCTGATCCCTGTGACCTGACCCATGTGTGTGTATGATCTGCTGTTACTGACCTGACTTCCATTCCTGACCTGCCTTCAGATTCTCTTACCCTGCCTACGCTTAGAACTCTGCTTTCCAGTTAATGACCTTGGCTCCCCTCTCTGGCTTTGGTTGCTGTATCACTACCACCATGCCTGCCTGCTGATGACCCCAAGCTGCCTTGCGATCCTTCTTGGGTCTCTGATTTGCTACATTGCAGAACACCCGCTGACCTGGTCTGTTTTATGATCCCCTCTTGTATCTGGCCTTCAACCGTGCCTTGGGACTCCACCAGCTACCTGTGCTGACTAAACTGTTTGCACCCCAGACAAGGTTCCTATGCCTGGCATTGTCATTTTTATATCATGTGGGTACTTTTTAAGTGGTCCTGCAAGTTCATGTCTTAATGAGTAACTCTTACAGGTACTTGGGCTCCACCAATGGCCACTGTTGCCATCTTGGTCTCCTACCAGGTCTACCAGATACTTGGCATGAGCAGTCTTTCCATAGTGCCCCATGGAGCCCCCTGATGTTCCTCTGGAACTATGAAATCCTGAATGCTGGATCATCCCACCTTTCTCATCCCACCAAGGAATCTGCCAGTATCTTATCATTTTGTCTGCACATTGTAGCAAGTGGCCATATGCCATTCATATATACCAAATTTTATCTGACGGCTTTGCTAGGATTTGTTAATGACTGCACAGTTTGTATTAGAACGTACTGACAAAGTCGTTTTTACTTTGTGGCACGCTTCAATTTAGTGTTTAATGTACCCCGGAAATGTATATAGGGTCCTACCTGACCAGGAACACCTTATACAAAGTTATGATGCTTCAAGCGGGGAAGACTGAACTTCACCCATCCAAATGCCTCTGCAGTGTAATTACCCCCTCCATTAATCAGTCTGAAAAACGTCATACACCTGGTCCACCTCCACCAATGGTGTACAGAAAGAGGTAGTCAACCTTGGGACTCCAGCTCATGTGGGCCTACCAGTCCTTTGAGGCATTGCAAGACTCTGACAATCACAGCAGTGGCGTCACTAGGGGGGGTGTATCCCGCACCTGGGTAACACCATTGGAGAGGGTGACTGTCAGTCATTTCGGTGTCACCCCCTCTGAAAAGTCGGATACTCGGTCATGGGCCGAGAGCCCGACAGTTGCACGAAAGGGGACCCGGCGGCATACTTTATCTCGCTGGGTGAATGTCCTCTCCTCTCTCTGCCGCCGGTAGGTAGAGTTGCACGTGCGCAATGACGTCAAGGCGGGGTGTCACCCGGTGCCTGCTCCGGGTGACACCACGCCTCGGGACGCCCCTGATCACAGGCATAACTCCAAGAGCCAGAGGGCTGATAGAATCTGTAGTTTTAACAAAACTATAGTGTCAAGGTTGTCTATCCCTGGTCTATGGAGAGATGTACAGGGAGATGATTGTATCTCACCAGTGGCGTAACAATCCCAATAGCGACCCATTCTATAGAGAGTCTATGGCGGGCTCTGCAGGGTCACTCTCCGCTGGGGCTCTGCAAGTGGCATGACTAGCAATCACGGGGCCCCATACAAAATGTTGCTATGGGGCCCTGTGATTTCTAGTTACGCCCCTGTATCTCACCCAATAACTGGTAAGATGGTGAAGCCTTTTCTAGAGAATAAAAGATTGCTAGATGTAGCAATAAAAGAGTTATAATAAAGTGCTGAGATAAACTGAAGAGACGCTCTGATTTTAGGACAATTTCCCGGACCACATTGGCCGTCATGGGTTAATTTGACATCTCTGGAGCTGACCCGATTCATTGCATACTCATAATGATATATTTCAATTGAAATCATTTCATAGGTGTCCTTTATATACCTGTGGGACTGTTCAAATCTGCATTTTTATTCTTCTGCTTCAGAACTTTTAAGGACTTTACATACTTGTGGCTTGTCGGATCTCTTCCGATGACGCTGAAATCGTAAGAGTCCATCAGGAGTATCCGAAATTTGGGGAAAGGGCTGAAGTGGTAAGCGTAGAATGACTCCGGGACATGGCCGTTCTCCGGAGATATTACCTGGGTCTCCCCCAGATGGGCGCTGTTCAGTTTTGACTCCACCAGCTGCTTCCTGCTGAAGTTGTAGAATTCGTGGTTGCCCCAAATATGGTGGACGGGGACCTTCAGCTTATCGAATTCATCCAGAACTTTGGCCAGCGACGTCTCCGACGCTCCCAGGGGGACGTTGAAACCGTCGATGATGTCACCGAGCTGGAGGATGAAGGCCGGCCGGGCCGTTTCGGAGGCCCACTCTTGCGCCGCGTCTTGTAGTAAAGACAAGCTGCTCCGGTAATACCTCATCCTCGTCTTCACATAGTTATAGCCGTCGTCCTTGTCCGCGTACTGGATGTCCGCGATGACCCCGAAGGTGAACAGCGGCTCCTGAGTTTCATCCATTTGGTTATTTTCGTGCTATGTAAACGTTTCTGCCCCTAAAGACAAAATGTGAGTTCAGTTTCTGACAAAGTCTCATCGGACAACAGACCTGATAAGCAATAATTATGTGATCAAGCCAAACTCCAGCCAAAAGGTTTTGGATGAACTTATAAAGGGTTAATACTTCTGTGAAGTATCTTTTCCTCTCTTGACCCCATTGTGGACATTTTGTCTCACTTCCTGCCCCTGTGACCCCTGTTCAAGGTATAGGGGGAGAGGTGGTCACCAGGACAGGAATACGCAGAAATTAATAATAACCCGACACAGTGGTGTCACAAGGGGGGTGCGGCCCGCGCCCGCGTGACACCATTGCAGGGGTGACACCAAAATGACTCACAGTCATTTTGGTGTCACCCCCCTCAGAAAAGTCGGGCGCTCGGTCATGGACCGAACGCCCGACAGTATCAGGAGAGAGGAGTGGACCCGGCGGCATACCTCATCCCGCCAGATGACTGTCCTCTCCTCTCTCTGCCGGCGTCCTTCACCAACATGGCCGCTGGCAGGTATCAGAATACTGCCGCGCGTGCGCCCGACAGAAGGTTCAGCACAGAGGTGGGCAACCCGGCACTCCAGTTGTGGTGGAACTGCAAATCCCATGATGCATTGCAAGCCTCTGACAGCCACAGGCATGACCCCCAGAGGCAGAGGCCATGGTGGGATTTGTGGTTTCTCCACAGCTGCAACGTCCAGGGGGTCAAAAACTTTCACATTGTACTGGAATGAAGTCTTTTGTTGTGTCTCCACAGCAAAGATTTCCCTTCACTTCCTGTCCCAACGAGAAGTAAGAGGAAATTTCCATCAGACCATAGATAAAAACCTGGCAGAGGTTCTGTCCCCTCCCCATAGCTGTGGCTGGAGTTAGCTCTAGCATATCCAGCCGCTAAAACAATCACATTGTCATTATAAAGCATGTACAAGAATCTCTGTTAGAACTGAAGTTTAATCCGGTTATATTTTGCCTTCTCTGGCTCCTCCCCTCCGCCCGCACAAATATGCAAATTATACTTTTAAATGAATCCTTTCTGTTTTCATTTCAAACCTTATTTTAGACCTGGTGATGTCATCACTGGGCCTCTGCGTTTCTGTATGCAATGCCGGCAACCACAGCTGGTGGGAGGGGCCAGCAGGGCGCTATACATAGCTTCCTGAAAACATCACAGCACCTGCCTCAGTACTTTTCACAAAAGAGCCCTTAGCCCTCATGCAAGCAGGGGGAGGAGTTATGCAAATATAAAGATGCCTTGATGGGTGGATGCCAGTCTGGAGGAGTGGGTGTTCCTAGATGCTGTATTTGCATACAGACCGCCCTAGGCAACGCCCCCATATGATGCTGAGCCTCTATGATTGAAAGAACTGAAATCCAATGAATGAAAGGGGACAATCAGGCTGGGGAGGAAAGCTTTAATGATGCTGGATGTCCTCCACCCAGGAAATGAGGAGGAGCTCTATCTGAATTGCTGCAGGTTCTAATGCACATTGTGAGAAGCTTGCAGTGTGCAGTGAAATCAGAAGAGAAGAGGAGCCGGTACAACTGTGCAAGACTGAGAGCTCGTTTACACCATGTTCATTGATCAGAGAGCTCTGAGTGGTCTGCTGAATGTGCTGCAGCTGGGGCAGTGGCATCACAAGGGGGGTGGCCCGCACCCGGGTGACATCTTTGGAGGGGTGACAGTCATTTTGGTGTCACCCCATCTAAAAAGTCGGGCACTCGCTCATGGACCAAGAGCCCGACAGTGTCAGGAGAGAGGGGAGGACCCGGCGACATACCGCATCCCACCAGGTGAACATCCCCTTCTCTGTCTGCTGGCGGCGTCCACCACCAAGATGGCCGCCGGGAGGTGTCAATGAGATGACCGCGCATGCATGATGACATCATGGCGGGGTGTCACCTGGTCTCCACTCCGTGTGACACCCGGCCTCGGGACGCCCCTGGCGGGGGGGTTTATAAACTGGGGGGAACCTGTGTCCTTAGCACTTGTTGCGGGGCCACAGCCAGCAGCCGATGCCCACACTCCGGCCCCCGGGGACAGCCGGTCTTCCTGGTTCTGCTGTGAGTCTCATGTTACAATCGTCGCTGCAGAGAGACGACGGCTGAGAGGGCCGGGGATCATTGCTTCACTCTTATGATTGCTGACACACTTGGTGGTGTCTATAGCGGCAGCATTACAATGTAACAAATCGCTACAAAACACAATTGTATCCATTGTTGTTGCTGGAGAGAACACAGACAGAGCTGAGACAAATAAAGGGACAAATAGCGATTCTTACTGCATGAAAGCCAACAGAGGAGCCGCGTGAGGGTTAAACGGCGAACGTCGCAGCGCATAGACAGCGGCGCAGCGCTCCGTCTTACCCGGCATGCCGGCTGACGTCAGTCACATTACGGCAGAGGACTCGGGGCTGCAGTGCAGAGTCACTCCCTGCATCTTCTTATAGGGAAGAGGAATGGCAGCACTCCCAGCAGCCACATGACGCTGCGTGTGCGCCCCTCCCACCGTCACACTCACTGACAGAGACAATCTGCAACCTATGGCACAGAGATGTCAGCTTCTCTCCGGCACTTGTCAGCCTCATGAGAGCTGCGCTGCAGGAAATGCGCTCGGAGCACGGTCTCCAGCTTTCATTTTCAAAGCTTAACTGAACAAACTGAAGGTAGAGGCTGATTGGTTACTGCGTGCAGCTGCTCCAGTTTTAGTAAATACCACCCGCAGGGTTGGCAACAGCAAGCAGTGCAGATATGAATATGCTTCTCACCACCCTGGGTTCCTGTCTGCCCCCTGGAAATGCCCCCTCCCCCTTCAATGCTGTACAATGCATTACAATACGTATGTTAACGTCTGATGTGTGTCTGCAGGGTGCATCAGGGTGGCGTTTGAAATGAATTGCACCGCAGCACGCACCAATCATAAATTACCGCACAATGCATGATACAACGCATTACCTCAACGCACAGGTAGCTCTGTCATACAGTCCTGTTTGGGTCAGGGTAGGCAACCTTGGCTCCCCAGCCTGTGAGAAAGTACAAATGCCATCATGCTTCTGCCTCTGGGTGTCATGCCTGTGGCTGTCAGAATCTTGCAATGCCTCATAGGACTTGTGATTCCACAACAGCTGGAGGGCCGAGGTTACCCACCCCTGCTTTAGGTAGACCCTCGTTAGTGATGAGAGAACTGGCAAGGGTTTAGTTTGCTTGGACGTTCGCTGAAGCCAGCCTGAAATATGAGTACAGTGAACATTCAAGCAAACCGCCTGCAGAGCTGCCTGTATCCTAGTAACCAATGATGTTGTGTGAGTGTCATGGGTTGCTAAGCCACTTACAGCTGGGCTTTACAGCATCATTGGTTGCTAGGACACAGGTGGGTGCACAATGACAAGCAATAACACTGTGGGGCCATTTGCACCTTAGCAACCATTAACACTGTGTGACCCGCACAGCATCATTCTTTTCCAATGAACTGGCGGCCATAGGTTGTCAAGGTGCACCCATCTGCATTCTAGCAACCAATGACACTGAGAATCTTATTCACCTTTCAACCTATCATGCTGTGAGTCTCATTCAGCAGCCAACCAATTACACTGTGAGTCTCATTAACCAATCAAGCAATGACGTTGTGAGTCTTCTTTAACAGCCAACCAATGCCGCTGAGAGTCTTAAGGTGGCCATACACTCTACAACCATCGCAAGACTTTAGTCTTGCGATGGTTGTAAAGGGATTAAAAAACCGTACGATCTGCCTATCTTGGACAGGTAGATCGCACTCTCGATCATCGCAAGCCCACCCCCCTGAGGGGCGGGCTTCCGATGACCGCAATGCTTAACGGGCAGTGTGCGCGTGCGCACACCGGCCCGTTCAGCATTTATCTTCCGAGCACCGTTCTAACCAGCCGAGAATCGTACGATTCCCGGCTGGTTTTCGAACATGCTGGTTCGACAGAAGACGTGCGACCGTACAGTAGAAACGGTCGCTTGTTGCTGGAGAGAACACAGACAGAGCTGAGACAAATAAAGGGACAAATAGCGATTCTTACTGCATGAAAGCCAACAGAGGAGCCGCGTGAGGGTTAAACGGCGAACGTCGCAGCGCATAGACAGCGGCGCAGCGCTCCGTCTTACCCGGCATGCCGGCTGACGTCAGTCACATTACGGCAGAGGACTCGGGGCTGCAGTGCAGAGTCACTCCCTGCATCTTCTTATAGGGAAGAGGAATGGCAGCACTCCCAGCAGCCACATGACGCTGCGTGTGCGCCCCTCCCACCGTCACACTCACTGACAGAGACAATCTGCAACCTATGGCACAGAGATGTCAGCTTCTCTCCGGCACTTGTCAGCCTCATGAGAGCTGCGCTGCAGGAAATGCGCTCGGAGCACGGTCTCCAGCTTTCATTTTCAAAGCTTAACTGAACAAACTGAAGGTAGAGGCTGATTGGTTACTGCGTGCAGCTGCTCCAGTTTTAGTAAATACCACCCGCAGGGTTGGCAACAGCAAGCAGTGCAGATATGAATATGCTTCTCACCACCCTGGGTTCCTGTCTGCCCCCTGGAAATGCCCCCTCCCCCTTCAATGCTGTACAATGCATTACAATACGTATGTTAACGTCTGATGTGTGTCTGCAGGGTGCATCAGGGTGGCGTTTGAAATGAATTGCACCGCAGCACGCACCAATCATAAATTACCGCACAATGCATGATACAACGCATTACCTCAACGCACAGGTAGCTCTGTCATACAGTCCTGTTTGGGTCAGGGTAGGCAACCTTGGCTCCCCAGCCTGTGAGAAAGTACAAATGCCATCATGCTTCTGCCTCTGGGTGTCATGCCTGTGGCTGTCAGAATCTTGCAATGCCTCATAGGACTTGTGATTCCACAACAGCTGGAGGGCCGAGGTTACCCACCCCTGCTTTAGGTAGACCCTCGTTAGTGATGAGAGAACTGGCAAGGGTTTAGTTTGCTTGGACGTTCGCTGAAGCCAGCCTGAAATATGAGTACAGTGAACATTCAAGCAAACCGCCTGCAGAGCTGCCTGTATCCTAGTAACCAATGATGTTGTGTGAGTGTCATGGGTTGCTAAGCCACTTACAGCTGGGCTTTACAGCATCATTGGTTGCTAGGACACAGGTGGGTGCACAATGACAAGCAATAACACTGTGGGGCCATTTGCACCTTAGCAACCATTAACACTGTGTGACCCGCACAGCATCATTCTTTTCCAATGAACTGGCGGCCATAGGTTGTCAAGGTGCACCCATCTGCATTCTAGCAACCAATGACACTGAGAATCTTATTCACCTTTCAACCTATCATGCTGTGAGTCTCATTCAGCAGCCAACCAATTACACTGTGAGTCTCATTAACCAATCAAGCAATGACGTTGTGAGTCTTCTTTAACAGCCAACCAATGCCGCTGAGAGTCTTAAGGTGGCCATACACTCTACAACCATCGCAAGACTTTAGTCTTGCGATGGTTGTAAAGGGATTAAAAAACCGTACGATCTGCCTATCTTGGACAGGTAGATCGCACTCTCGATCATCGCAAGCCCACCCCCCTGAGGGGCGGGCTTCCGATGACCGCAATGCTTAACGGGCAGTGTGCGCGTGCGCACACCGGCCCGTTCAGCATTTATCTTCCGAGCACCGTTCTAACCAGCCGAGAATCGTACGATTCCCGGCTGGTTTTCGAACATGCTGGTTCGACAGAAGACGTGCGACCGTACAGTAGAAACGGTCGCACGTCTCCGTTCACACTGCTCGATTATCGTACGAAAAACCGATCGCATACGATTATCGTACGATAATCGTGCAGTGTATGGGCACCTTTATTCACCTGCCAACCAATGCTGCTGAGTTTCTCATTCACCTGCCAACCAATGCTGCTGAGACTCTAAGGCCTGGTTCAAACCTAGGCGTATTGCATATGCGCGTCTGTCGCGCGTTTTTTTTACCGCGATTCGCGGGAAAACAATCGCGCGACAAACGCGTGTTTCCGAGGGCTATTTGGCTGTATCCCAATGTAAACGCGCAACAAAAACGGCCCAAAGTAGTACATGTACCTTTTCAGGCGTGGGCCGTTTTGTAGCGCGTTAGGGACGGGCTGAAATACGCCAAGGTGTGAACCAGACCCATTGAATACAATGGGATTTAGATGTTTGAGCGTTTTGTAGAGCGTTCGTCGAGCGTAGAACGCGCTACAAAACGTTCAGGTATGAACGAGGCCTCATTCACCTGCCAACCAATGCTGCTGAGACTCTCATTCACCTGCCAACCAATGCTGCTGAGACTCTCATTCACCTGCCAACCAATGCTGCTGAGGCACTCATTCACCTGCCAACCAATGCTGCTGAGGCTCTCATTCACCAGCCAACCAATGCTGCTGAGACTCTCATTCACCAGCCAATAAAAACAAAATAACCCCCCTACCCCCAACAAATTACCTTGAAACATACTGAATCCAGTGAACCAGGAAATAAAATGTCTCTCTCCTGCAAATTAAAATATAGTGACAATATAGGGAACAAAAAAGTAATAACAAAACAACAAAAAACACTTCTGTTATTTGGGCTGTACTGGTCATGAATGGGTTAAGCTGTGGACTAGAGGAAGGGGTTATGGGCGGGCTTATGATTGCAGGGGGCGGGACTTTGTGACAGGCAGGAAGTGTGCCAGCAAATGAGAGTGAGGATCAGGAATACCATCTGCATACAGTCGGCTGCCTCCCTCCCTGTGCACAGCAGCCAGGACTGGGGATCATGGAGGGGACTGTAGTGAGGACCGTAGAGGGGACATGTAAGGGGTCTCTGGGCTCCATACTGTGTGCTGAGTATCAGCTGAGACTCTGGAGGGTTTGCAATCTCCTGATGTCCCTGTTTTTCGCCCTGGCGGCTTATGTGCAGGTGAGCTGACTTTGTGCAACTTTGTTTTCCCCAACAAATAGATTGTTATTAAATATCAGGATAATTCTTCTACACACAATTCACCCAAACATGGAGCGATGAGGACAATCCCTGTGATATGTTCTCCCTTTACTAGAGATCTGGGGGGAAAGTCAGACCTTCCCCAACCTCACGTCTGAACAAACGGGGCAAAGTTCAGGCTGCAACCTTGTCCCAGAATGGAACTTGTTATTGTCTTTTTTTTTATTGACTTTTTTTGTTTTTGTTTTAAATTGAACAGATTTAGGACTTGTTCACACCAAATGCGGACCAGATTGGCATGAGTTTCTGCACACGCAGTGCAGTGTGATAGACCGCGTTTTTTTTATGCGTTCCGGGCCGTTTTTGGTTAAAAATTTTTTAGTTTAAAATGGGCTTTCAGTGCGTTCCAGGGCGTTTGCATGCGTTTTTGATGTGTTTGCATGCCTTCCAGAGCATGAAAAATAGGGCTTGCTGCAGTTTTTTTTACATGCTCTGGAACTGAACGCTGCGGTGTGAACTAGAGCCCAAAATACTATTGGAATACATTGGACGCAGCTTTGATCCGGTCTGTAACTGCTCTGCTCCTGGAACGCACTTGGTGTGAACAAGCCCTTATGGAAAAACTGCAAAATACACAGACATAGCGGCTTGTTCACACCAAATGCGGACCAGAAGGGCATTCGTTTCTGCACACGCAGTGCAGTGTGATATACCGCGTTTTTTTGCCGCGTTTGTGATGCGTTCCGGGCCGTTTTTGGTAAACTTTTTTTAGTTTAAAATGGGCTTTCAGTGCTTTCCAGTGCTTTTGCATGCGTTTTTGATGTTTGCATGCGTTCCAGAGCAGGTAAAATAGGGCTTGCTGCAGTTTTTTTTTACATGCTCTGGAACTGAACGCTGCGGTGTGAACTAGAGCCCAAAATTATATTGGAATACATTGGACGCAGTTTTGATTCGGTCTGTGAGGCTGGGTTCACAGCTAGGCGTATCAAATATGCGCGTTTGTCGCGCGTTTTTACCGCGGTTCGCGGTAAAAACATGCGCGACTAACATGCGTTTCCGAGGGCTACCTGGCTGTATCCCAATGGATACTCGCGTCAAAAACGCCCCAAAGAAGCTCCTGTACTTCTTTGGGCGTAGGGCGTTTTGTAGCGCGTTCATACGGCCTGTAATACGCCCAGGTGTGAACCATGCCCATAGGAAATAATGGGATTTCGGTGTTTGAGCGTTTTGCAGAGCGTAGGAGCGCGCCACAAAACGCCCAGGTGTGAACCGGGCCTAACTGCTCTGCTCCTGGAACGCGCTTGGTGTGAACTTGCCCTTATGGAAAAACTGCAAAATACACAGACATAGGGGCTTGTTCACACCAAATGCGGACCAGATCGGCATTCGTTTCTGCACACGCGGTGCGGTGTGTTTTGTCGCGTTCCGGGCCGTTTTTGTAAAAAAAAAATAATACTCCTGATTACATTCAAGTACTTTATTAACAACAATGTGTCTTATTTGTGTGTCACTCGGCTGTAGATCCTCCAATCATCTCTGACTTGCTGCTGACTAGACATGAGCATTCGGATTCGGACAAACTTGCAAATCAACTAAATTCAGTTGATTTGGCGTTTCGTCCTAATCCGAAATAACGAATTTATTCCCAAATATACTAAAACTATATTCAGGCAAACATAAATTAATTTGCAGAACGCATGGAGGCCATATTGGCTGCTGCGCGTTCTGCACAGACGCACCGCCATCTGTGTGTATATCTTGGTATACACCGAACATACGAGCACAGCCATCTTGGTGTATACCAAGATGCACTCGAAGATGGCGGCGCGGAATCGTAAAACATGCCGGTGGCCGACATGGGCGCCGCTCGTTCTGTATTTTCAGTGTGACATCTCATGCTGAATGAGCAGTGGCCATATCGGCCGCCGGCGCGTTCTGTGCAGATGCGCCGCCATCTTTGAGTGTATCTTGATATACACCAAGATGCCGGAGCACAAACATACGGGCGCCGCCATCTTGGTGTATACCAAGATACACTCAAAGATGGCGGCGCATCTGCACAGAAAGCACCAGCGGCTGACATGGCCGTCGCTCGTTCTGCATTCTGAGTGTGTGGATTCGGAGGCTCGTTGCCTTAGAAACGGCAGAAATAATTGTTTTCTTTGATGAAACGAATGGAAACGTTTTTTGTTTTCATTTGTTTTGTCAGAAAACTATTTTTTTTTTGCGGTGCACATATCTAGTGCTGACACTGTCCTTCCTTCTGGAGGGGGGCTACTTGTGTTCCCCATGTTCCCTGTGTGTGTTGTAGAGTAGTCACCGCTCCAAGCTCGCTCCCGGGATGGACTACAATCTCATCTTAAATTCACTCCCGGGATGGACTACAATCTCATGTTAAATTTACTAATTTGTATTGAGATTGTAGTCCATCCCGGGAATGAGCTTGGAGCGGTGACTACTCTACAACACACACACAGTGACATGGGGAACAGACGTAGCCCCCCTCCAGAAGGAAGGACAGTGTCGGCACCAATTCAGAGATGATTGGAGGATCTACAGCCGAGCGACACACAAATAAGATACATTGTTGTTCATAGTTAAGCTACTTGGATGTATTATTAAGATTGAACTCCGGAGTTTAGTGTCACTTTAAAGTGTACGTCCAGGGTTATCCGGATTGACCAGTTTTTATAGCTACCTGGGGCTCCAAGAGAATCCCCCTCTCATTTCTTGTCCCGGTGACAACGGTTTTACTAGACAGGAAGTGAAGGAGGCTCTACAAAAGGGGCACAGACAGCAATAACAATCTGATGGGAGTTGTAGCCTTTTGCCTATTTTACTGGAGAAAAAAAAAAGCATTTTGATCTCTGTCATTTTTGTCGCTGGAAACTTTCTGTCTGGAGAAAGTGTTGTCACTGGTACAGGAAGTGAACGTTAAAGGTCTACTAATGACTGGACATTTTTTTACCTTCATACATTCTCTGCGTTAAGGTAAAAAATGCCCAGTACCTTTTTTGAGTCCCCTGCCCCCCACACACAGTTACCTGTCCCCGAAGCAATCCTCCATCCAAACTTCCTGGTTGCGGGGGAGGAGTTTGAGAATAGAGGAGCCCTAGGCCCCTTCTGCCGTCGGTCAACCTTTTAGGTGTAGAGGAGAGGCCTATGGACGCACACAGCTACTTGCAGGCACGGCCGGGAACAAGCACGCACGGGTGCCTCTGCAGCTCAACTTAGCTGATGGAGCCACCCGTGCAGGGGGCGGGGGATAGCGATGCAGAGAGGCACTGGAAAACAAGGAACTGAACATTTTTAATAAAAAGAACAAAGGATTTCTTATTGTATGCACCTCCTATGTATACAAAAAACACACAAAGCTTAAATATCACTTTAATTTCTCTTTCACTTCCTGTCTAGAGAAAGTGTTGTCACTGGGAAAGGAAGTGAGGGTTAATCTCTGTGTCACTTTTTCTGTCTAGAGAAAGCATTGTCACTGGGACAGGAAATGAACATTAAATTATCTGTCACTTCCTGTTTAGTGAAAGCATTGTCACTGGCAGAGGAAGTGATGGTTAAACTCTCAATCGGAGCCCCGGATAGCAGTAAAAACCTGACGGGGATTTTAATTCTCCACTGCGCTATCCAAAACTAATAAGAATAAAGTTTTGGCAGGGCTGACACTTCAATTTTCTTTTATCCTAATTCAGCCTAACCAGGCGAGTCGTGACGCATTCAGTGCTATCTGTGCTGACCAACCACACACTTACACAACGATCACATGACATTTGTGTTGGTCATGCGATGATGGCTCGCCTTCTGTTATCCCTTCTGTGGCCAGCTTGATGCACCGATTGGGTACAGGTATGTCACGGTCTGTGACTGTTCCGTTTATAGAATTTTCTGCAGGTTGCCTAGACTGGTGCATGCCCAGATAATGCGACTTCTGTCTTATCCCAATACTGTTCTAATGGTCCATTTATCAATATGTTATAAAGCAGCTTCTCCTAACTACCAACACTAGAGCTGCAACCAACTTATCTATAATAATCAATAATGAGAATAGTTGTCAACTATTCTCATTATCGATTAGTTGTTCGGATCCACTAGCTATCTCCTCCACGCAGGTAGGAGGGCACTGCAAGCAGTGGGCGGCTGCAATAGCCAGCCTGCTATTGGCTATTGCAATTTGAAATGGCCAATAGCAGGCTGGCTATTGCACTCGCCCACTACCATTAAATTTATGAAAATAATCATCAGTTGCAGACCTAACCGACACCTTGTATTTTCCCTTACAGATCAATGACCCGGATGCCGGCATGTGGATTGTAAGTGCACCCACGGAAACTTTTTTTTTTCTTTATAAAACTAACATAAGAGTGATTGCTTGTTGAACGGGATGAAATTCCAAGTGTAGATAAAAATGATTCTTAGTGGTATACAAAGTGTAAAGAATGTAATGTATAGCACAGGATACATAGGTGGGCAGTCTGAGGAATGCAACACACAGCACAGCAGTCTGGTCCCTGGTCCCGGATCGCTCTCCAAACTTTCTGACAATGGCTTTAAGAAGAAACATCCGGGGAAACAGACGGGTGCACAATCCTCCTTGGAATGGTGCACCTGTCTACCTGCCTGAAGGGGAAGATCTCAGCGCAGCATGGGGTCCCCGCCCCCCTGAAGGGAGAAGCGTCGGGCTAATCACAGGCGCCTGAGCACCTAAACCTCCCTCTCAATCACAGCCAAGCTTAAAAAGCCGACTAAACCCGTTTGTGCGCCGGACTCCCAATACCCAGGAGATAGATCTTTCCCAACTAGAAAGTCCAATTCCACCAACACGGACGACATGACACAAGACTACAACTAGTAAGTCAGCCGAGTCCAGCTTTGCGTGTCTGTGCCTGCTGTCCGGGGGGGGGGAGGGGGGGGACCCCCAGGTAAGGGTGCCACGTGTCCAGGA